CAAATTTTAAAGTTAAAAGCTACAATTAATGGCATAGTAACATATTGGATATCTCAATTCTATCATCTAGGTGTATGGTGTCAAGTTAGCACTACATGCCATTTTTTTCTTAAAAACCGAAAGCTACAAATTTTTCCTTTCCATAACAAAATTTACAACAAAAAAGCTACAATTAATGCCGTTTAACCTTTTCAATATCTCAATTCTGTCGTCAATGGTGCATGGTGTCAAGTTAGCACTACATACTAAATTTTGTTCGAAAAAGGGTCAACTCAATTTTTTCTAGAAAAACGAAAGCTAAAAATTTTTTCTTTTCACAACAAATTTTAAAGTTAAAAGCTACAATTAATGGCATAGTAACATATTGGATATCTCAATTCTATCGACTAGGTGTATGGTGTCAAGTTAGCGCTACATATCATTTTTTCTTAAAAAACGAAAGCTACAAATTTTTTCTTTCCATAACAAATTTAAAACAAAAAAGCTACAATTAATGCCGTTGTAACCTTTTCAATATCTCAATTCTGTCGTCAATGGTACATGGTGTCAAGTTAGCACTACATACTAAATTTTGTTCGAAAAAGGGTCAACTCAATTTTTTCCAGAAAAACGAAAGCTACAAATTTTTTCTTTTCACAACAAATTTTAGAGTTAAAAGCTACAATTTATGGCATAGTAACATATTGGATATCTCAATTCTATCGACTAGGTGTATGGTGTCAAGTTAGCACTACATACCATATTTTTTAAAAACTGAGAGCTACAATTTTTTTCTTTCCACAACAAATTTACAACAAAAACACTACAATTAATGCTGTAGTAAACTTTTCCAATTTCGAAAAATGTAGTGCTAACTTGAATATGGCGGAATTAGAGCGAGAAGTTGCCAACCAATAACACCTTGTATTATTGCATCATGTTCGTTTACAACCCTTGTATGTGATCGATGAAATTTGTATGGTGAATTTGGCAACTTTAACAACAAATTACTTAATAACTATAAGCCTCCGCTAGGTGGGGTCTTCACTTTTAGAATCAGAAAAAGCTCCTCTACCCGCCCTCATTTTTCGTTTTTTCATTTTTGCACAGATTTTAAGGAAAACTTTCCCGGTACTTCTACTTGGATTAATGTACTCACCTAATAACCGCATCACCTCCTGTGGATTCAGATACACATTCAGATGGGACTGAACATTACAGCACAGAAGTAGCAGCCAGCATCCAAAGTTCAGTAGCCAGATTATAGAATATTCGTAAATTTTTTTTGCCATTTTGTGAAAACTTTACTCCTGGCCGAAGATGGTTTCTTTAATTTTTAATATGCTTATAAATATTAGAGAACGCGGCAAATAAGGCAGTAGTATATGAAAAGACTACAAGCACATTTCAAATACGAAAGCAATCGGCAACAACAATTATGTATTGATAACCAGTGTTGCCGCGACGTCATGAAAAAATATATCGTAAAAGAGATAAAAAATGAATCAAATGTATCACAAATTTTTATTTAAGTATCAAGTTGGAAAAAACTTAAAAAAATGCCATTTGGTTTCATACCTTTGCTTTTTATTATTGTCAATAACCGAAAAATCATGTAATTCGCATTCATACATATTCTGCAAAACCGCGTAACTGACATTTGCTGCCAAAAATTGGATTTGCCCACATAAGCTCTTGACTCAATGCTTATCCATTCGTCCTGAAATATACTAGCCAGAAATGCGATTGCTTTATCAAAAAGAGAACCATTTTAAAACATGAGTGTTTTTACTAGAAAATATTTTACATAATTCACATACGCGGTTTTGCATTTTATTGATACGCGGTTTTGTACTTTAAACGACGATATGTATGTTTGTACATGAAGAAAAATATTTTACATAAGTATTGTGACAATCTATCGAAAAAGATTATTTTCAACAATTTTTATTGAGTTCGAGGCCGTTTTTAATGAAAAACTTATTGTGGAAAAGCAACAATAATTTGAGAAAATGGTAGAAGTGATAGCTATTTCGGAAATCACCACATTTCCTCATCAGACTTCTTTCAGTAGGATTCGAACCGACGATCCCACTGACTCAGCCAGTTGCCTACGCACTGTGCTAAGCTAGCCTTGTAAATTATCGTTGCTTTTTCCTCACTTTTTCATTTGCTAAGCCAACACAATCAAGCGCAGCTATTCCGCTACGATTTACACTTGATCATGTGGTTGTTGGTTTTGTTGGTTTTTGTTAATAATTCTATTTTTAGAATGTTTAACTTTTAGGTGTGCTCGTCCTTAAGTTATTTGTTTTTGTTATTTTATGGCCTTATAACAATTATACAAACACGAAAAAGATTATTTTTTTT